AGGCTCAGAGAGGGCAACTGGCTTGACTCATGTCACAAAAATAGCGGGTGGCAGAGGTAGGACTGGACTGCGGTTCCTGCCCTGCACACGACCCTCAGAATGAGCCCCGCTTCCAGGTGGAGACGAGGCTCCTTTCCGGGCACTGAAGGGACCTGGTGGTACCTTCGCAAAAGCTCCCTCCCCTGCACACAGCGCTCAGCCCCGCTGTCTCTGAGCTCCAGGTCTGTGAGAGGCCTGCCCTGCCTACCCAGAGGCCCCGATGGCCTTCCCGCCCCTGTTCTCCTGCAGTGAGTGATTCCTCCCCACCCTCCAGGCGGGGCTCAGCGCTCATCTTCCTGGGGCCCTTGGCCTGTGTCACAGCGCTGAGGGCCCCCAAGGTACCGACTGGGGCTGGTCTCCCATTGTTCTGTGTTCCAACCCTGCCCCTCCCACTGGGATCGGGGGCCTGGGACCGTCAGCCCCAGTGAATGAGTCCATTTCTGCCTGTCGGACGCCATACCAGGGCATCTTTCCTGTCTGCCGCAGCTGGCGAGATCCTGTCTTTCTCGTACCTTCCTCCACCCTCTTCCTGACTTGGCTTCCATAATCCAGATACCACGCTGGCCTTGAGCCACCTGCCCTCAGCTCAGAGAAGCGGCTGTCCAGCGGCGTGATCTTGTAGGCAACGCTGCCCCCTGGCGGCGCCTCTCCGCGCTGCAGCCCTCTCCCTGCCTGTGGCTCCCAAACCGCAGCAGGGAGCTGGCCTATGATTCTAGGAGGCCCGCAGAGCTGTGGTGTTCCTCAAGGCCTGAATTTAACGTGTGTTTGCTCTAATTTTAAAATGAATACAGTTGCATTCCAGAAAATCCGAGACCCAGAAAACTGTAAAAAAATAAAGATTACTTGTAAACTCGGAGACACCAACCCTTAACCATTTTGGTACATATCCTGCTAATTTGTCTTTTATATATATCAATACATTTATTTATTGGAAAAAATGAGATGATCATCTGCAGAGGTTTTTAAAAAATAGCATTTAATATGTCCTGAGTTCAGAAGCAGAAGGAAATGTGAAAAATCAGAAAATCACAAAGGAGAAAATTTAAGCATTACATATGATCTCACCATCCAGAGCTCCTTCTCCATTCAGTTTATCTGTGAAAATCAACGGTTACTACCCACCTTCTTTCTTGAAAGGATGATTTCACCATTGAGTGCCCTGCCACTGTTTTCCTGCTGGCGGTTTCTCTGGGGACACCCTCCAACCTCCCCTTCAACCCTCCGACCTCCCCTTCTTCCACCTTCCCCATGCGGCTCCCCTGGGAGTAGCCAGGCCTTCCGTGAACCTCGGTGTGTTCATCTGTGTGATTAATTCTTTTTTTTCAAGTCCTCATCAGAGGGGAATACACACACACACACACACACACATATACATACTAGAGGCCCAGTGCACGAATTCGTGCATGGATGGGGTCCCTCTGGGTGATTTGCGGGGATCGGGCCCCAGCTCGTGCCCCCAGCCCCATAGCCTCACCTGGCATCCTGCCTTGACCTGGCGCCGCCCCCTCACCTGCTCCACCATCCCACCTGTGGGGCAGTCGGTTGGGG